GAACCCTGAAGTATTCGTCACCTACATAAACTGTATTTAAATATATGCATGTATATGCCGGCATGTATTCACTTGATTTCATGTTTCCAATCATTTCAGAACTTACTTGACTTAAAACATAACTCTATGCAAGTTGACATCTCAGTACAGGAAGCCCCTACTAGCCTTCATAGCCAATTGTAATTTGGAAACCTGCATCTTTCCTGAATTTTCTGTCACTAAAGTGCAAAGGCTCCTCTCTTCTCCTTGGCCATTTCTATACATCTCAAGGCCACAGAACCACCTGAAGCATCTCCCATCTCAGAGCAACGCTCAGCGGAAAATAGATTCTCCTGCACATTCACCTGCCTGCCCTAATATGAAAGAAGGTTCTTGAGAGAGGCTCCAAAAATTTCTCAAATGCGAAAGACAAAGGGCTGTTATGACATGAAAAGATGATTAAGGTCTAAGCTCTTTCCATGCATTGCCTAGGATTTTTGGAGGCATGTAAACACCTGCCTATATACCATTGTAGGTTAAGATAAAAGCAGCACTTGAGCTGATGACTCGTCATCTGGAACATTCCTCTTTCCTTTTGGGCACCAGTGAACAACACTGAAGTTCTTGCAAGATTTGTTTTTGTTTTGAAGTAGTTTGTTTTTAAAGAACACGCTGTAATCTGATCTGCATTTACATCTCCTTAAAAGAGTGGTATCAGGAAAATCTCAGTACTCCCTCCTGCCACCACTGAGCCGTGCCATACCTCCCACCTGGCATTACTGAACAATGCCTGAGAATTATTTTGTTAGCATATCATAACACCAAGCTCTCAATGAGACAACACTGACCATTTTTCCCCTGCAGTGCAAAACTGAGTACACAAAAACAGTGGTTTCTTTGATGCAAAGTTCCCTCTCATTCTGAAAAAGTCATGAGAACCCAGCTGAAACCCAGCCTAAGACACAGCAGTGCAGCGTGATTCCTGTGCAGTGTGAACACACAAGAACATAACCTATTTTACTACACAGACTCAGTAATAGCCTTCAAGGCTTTGAGGTAAGAAACACACCAAGGAGAACACGCACACTCTTAAGAGCTTCAGAAGTTTTTGTGTTTACTCCAAAACACTGCCAACATTAAGTAGCATTGTGAACGGTTCAATTTCTTTTCCCCAGCTTCACCATCAGCAATCATTTTCCTGGGAACAGCTTTATGAACTCCAGGCACATAATTCAAGGATATGAAGGAACAAAGGTCTATCAAGTCATTTCCACTCCACGCAGAGGAGGAACAAGCAGCTCTAGCTGCACCCACGCTGTTATCGCAGTAGCATTACATTGGTAACAGCATGGTCTTCTCGGACCTCTGGTCTGGTGGCAGCAGGCACAGAATCACTTTTCTCAGGGCTTGTAAATGCCATATTTTAACATAACTTTAGCTTAAACTAAAGAAGCCCTGGACAGACATTTTTTCAGGAAAGATAAAGCAAACAGAGAATGGAGATGGCAGTTAGAGGAGGAAATAAGATATTTTTCTACATGAGACCCCAACCTATAAATCAGTAGCTCACCAATTGCCAGGCTTCAGGTGCCAGCATCAGCATATAGCCCCTTCCCACCCCAGCCCCCCAACAGCCACAAGCACCCCAGACACCCACCCCAGAGCTTTCCACTCGGTGCAGAGCACTGTAAGTGAGCTACCAGAGGGGCTGGGGAGATTGTTTTAAAAGGACAGAGCAAACATCCCTAAACAAAATCCAGAAACCCCCTCCTGCTGCTCCCACCAACACACTACCAGATGCCCAACCTTCACCAACAAAAGTGAACCAAACTACCAACAGTGCAAAACTAAGAAACCACAGCAGGCAAATCCTCCGCAGCTGTTCCTTGCTTATTTTCTGTGCCTTGAAAAGCAGAAGCAGTGCCACAGCACTACTGCTGCCTTCATTTTAGTGGGCACTGAAAAGTGCCCACTTCAAGTTTGAGGAAACAGTAAAGAACAGACAACTCTGGCAATGCCATTTAAGTCCTAAGGGAAGCCAAACAATCCAGAAAAATCCTGAAAGCTGTAAAAACAGCCACTTTATGTAATCCATGAACTGCTCTGCCCTCCCATAGAACCTCCCTGCAGGTATGGGAAGACTGAAAAAGTTTTCTCCTCTTCATCCAGCACAGAAAGGCACAGTTATCATACATACAAAAGGGTTTTGTATTAGCTTTCAACCCCATTAACGGTGGCTCAGTTCCACTGGCACTGAAAGAAATGCAGAGACAGAAAGCAGCAGCACACAAATCCTCACAACCCCACGCAGGTTTAAGGATCAGAGCCAGCAGCACCAAAGTGGGCACCTTGGTAAAGTGGGCTCTGACCTCAGTGGCAGAGACAAAACAGAAAAACTTTGCTTTTTCCTATCAATCCCTGAGATGCCAGATGATACAAGTCCCAACTACAAGAAACTGAAAAGCTTGATCAGCTTTTCAGACGCTCACCTCACTACCCTACATCACGCCCTTCTATACCACCCGAAGACCCAGAGCTCTCAAGAGAATACTGTTCAAAAACCTGCTTGTGACCAAGATTGTTTTTAAGTAACTAGTAGCTCTAAGTGGTGCATGTACTTAAAAGCTTGCGAGACACACTCTCCTAATAACAAAGTGTCACATTGCAGAATGGAGGGAAAGCTTGTCCCAGCTTGAGCCACCTGAACAAGGGTTTGCTTAAAGAACACAGAATCATAGAATTGCTCAGGTTGGAAAAGACCTTAAAGATCATCAAGTCCAACCACGACCTAACCATGCTACCCTAACAACCCTCTGCTAAATCACGTCCCTGAAAGTCACTATGCTTCTAAACCTGAATAAAATGGCAGATACAAGCAAACAAAGCTCAAGAGAACGCAGTTACACTCATTCCATACGCTGAGACAAACTGAGCCCTTGCAACAAGAAGGGGAAAACTATGATAAGCACATAAAAATGCTCCAATTACTGAAGAATTGCTAAAATCCAACTAACTGTCAATACATAATGGCTTGGGGGGGAGTTCAAGATTCCTTGAGAAATCATATGAGACCAAAGTTTGGAACTACACAAAGGAATGCATGCCACAAAGCCATAAGTGAATCTGCTTCCAGTTACTGTGATGACTGAATTTCACTTATGTAAGAATGAGGGACACACAGGGTCAAAATTCCTGACTTTTGCATCTCACAGCACATCTTTAGCAAACAGCAAGCTTCACTAACTACTGAGAGATAACACCCAAATGCAAGCACGGCAAGAAACTACCCTAACTCATGCTGAAAGAACGTGTGCTACATCTGCAATCCAAGCCTTCCCATCGAAGGACAGGACAGAGGGGGCTCTCCTCACAGGTACTCAAAACAAGGACACTGCCAAACCTGAACCCTTCTACACCAACCCAGGCTCTTGAGCAACGCTTGAGATTTACAGCAAGTTCTCTGCTGAGCTCACATCCTTCCTTTCTCACTTTGCCATCTTTGCTCAACAGCAGGCTCACAGCCCCAGGATGAGCATAGCACAGCCCTGGCTTTATGTTTTAAATTAAAGCATACCCTGCAACAGAGGTAACCTCAGTACTCCTCATTACTTGATAGAAACATTCTCAACCTTGAACTCCGTCTGTGGGAAGCACGAGACAACGAATGCTCCTTCTTTAAGCCCTCCCTTTAAGGAAGGGTAGGATAAGCCACGCATACTGATTCTTGCATTCTGAAGAAAGCAGATTACTTCCAGGATAAGGAGATTGCAATAAATAAATAAATAAATTAAAAGTACCAAAGAGAGACAGAATAGTAAGTGAAAAATAACAAATGCTCGAGGACAAAGAAAAACAGCAACAGAGAAAACCTTAACGTCTCAAAGCCCCTCTCTAGAGCTGCCTCCAAACGAGGCCAAAGCACAGAACAATCCCCGCTGCCACGATTTTCTGAGGCTTCTCAATAGCACGGAGTAGGAAAAAAAAAAGTGTGGTGCCTCGCTGTAGCTATTTCACTGGGCTGAAAGGCTCAGCTCGTCCATCCCGGTGACATTAGCACGGAGACGGCACAGCCCTGGAGGTACGGCACAGAAGCAGAGCCTTCCCAGCCTCGCGCTCCGCAGCTCAGCACAAAGCTCCACCATCCATTTTAGCGGCCAACCAACTCCTCCCCAGCCCCACTTCCATACCGCCCGCTTATCCCGGCCGACCCTCGAAGCCCAGCGCGGAGGCAGCCCGTCTCAAAAAAGGCCCCACATCAGCGCGGCCAAGCGCTGCCTCCTCGCAGGCGGCATCGCAGCACCCGCTGCTCCGCACGGCGCATCGCCCCATCGGAACATCCCAGCACCTGCGCGCCCCGACTCCAGAACTTCGCCGCGCAACAAAAGCTCCGCGGCCTTTATTTCCCTCCCTCCCTCTCTCTAATTTGAGCTCGCGATCCTCGGTGAATTATTCATCCTCCCCAACTCACATTGTTCGGCGGCCGCCTCCCCCACCGCCACGCTTCTCTCAAGCTCCCGACGCCGAACTCGGCCCTTTCCGAACAAAACCGGAGCACAATAGGAGACGAAAGGCCGGCCGAACGCCTCCCGCGAGGCGCAACGCATCCCTCCCACCTCCTCTGGGAAACAGCCGCAGCTCCGGGGGCAAACCGGCACCAGCACACCGCACGCATCCTCGGGGAAAACGCGAGCGGCGCGCTCGGTGCTTTCTCCCTCTCGGCGCCTCCTTCCCCCCCCGTGATTCCCCCCGCCGCCCTACAGACACCGCGTTCCCCATCCCCTCCCGGCACACGGGAACCCACGGCATCGCGGGGCCGCGGGGCCGGCCCGCTCCCCCCGCCGACAAAATGGCGACGTGGACGGCGGGCGGGAGGAGGAGGAGGAGGAGGAGGAATGAAAGAGCGGAGCGCGCTGCGGGGCGGCGGGCTGGAGGCGCGGGGAGAGGAAGGGCAAGGGACAGGAGAGCGGAGCGGAGTCCGGCGCGGGGTGCCGGGGTGGCGGGCGGAGCGCCCGGCTCCGTACCTCTTCTTGTCGCTGACGCCGCCGGGGCTGTCCATGGCGGCGGCCCGGCTGCTGCTCGCTCGATCCGAGGCGGAGCGGCTCCAATGGCCGCCGAGGGGCGCGGAGATGGCGGCGAGGGGCCGGGTTTGGGGCCGCGCGGCCTCGCCTCACAGCATCGGGGCAGGCGCCGTGGGCCTGCGCCGGACGGGGAGGTGCGGACGGCGGCGGCGGCTGTGGGCGGGCGGGCGGCGCGGGGCTCGCCGGGGCTGGGCGCGGAGGCGGCGGCGGCGGCGGTGGGCGGGCTCGGCCGGCCCGGGCCCGGCGCTGCGCCAGTGAGGAGCGGCGGCGCGGCCCGGCCCCCTCGGCCGGCGGGGTCAGCTGAGCAAACAGCTGGGAGGAGGTGGGGGGGGCGGCCCTTCACGTGGAGCGCCGTGTGCGGGGCGGGACGCGGCGCCGCCGGCTCCCCGCGCCCCGGGCTGGACGGGGTGCCGGGCGGGCGGCGTTAGGACCCGCGCGGCCCCGCGGCGCTGCCCCCGGCTGCCCCTGCGCGGCCCCGCGCCCGCAGGGGGGCGCCGAAGCGCCCGCGGGGCAGCGGCCGGCCGGGGCCGGGTGGCCGCGGCGGGGCTGAGCGGGAAGGGCCGGGCCGCCTCGTGGCCCCGCTGCGGGCGTTCGCGTGGAACCGCTGCGATGGAGAAGCGGAGCCGCGGCTGTGCGGGCGTAGAGAGAGGAAATCTACAGCCGGGATCCACGCGCTGAAAATTAAGGGCCCCGCAGTGACCTTAGCTGCGTTCCTTGAGCCACATGCGTTTTCAGCTGTGTGGAGATGTGGGAAAAGGGACTCCGCGGCGCTCCCCGCTCCTTCACTGGAGGCTGAGGGGAGGCCACACGGCAGCGTGCAGCTCCTCACAGGGAGCAGGGGGGCAACACTCAGCTCTGCTGTCTGTGACAGAGACGGGGCCTGAGGGAAAGGCATGGGCAGCTGGGGGTCGGGGAAAAGCTGTGGAACAGCCTTGGAACAGCCTGGAACAGCCTGCCCAGGGCTGTGGGCACAGCCCAAAGCTGCCGGAGATCAGGGAGCATTGGAACACCGCTGTCAGACATCGGGTTGGGTTTGGGTGGTGCTGTGTGGAGCCAAGGCTTGGTCCCAATGGTCCTTATGGGTCCCTTCCAATGCAGGACGTTTTGTGATTTTACAATCTTGTTGCTTTCCTCCAACAAGAATTTTAAGTGCTCATACAGACCTCAGCCATACGACACCACTCAGTTCACAGCTCTGAGGTAATGATACCTTTTCAGAAGCAGCAGCTTTGACAGGCATAAGTAACATCCCTGCACTGCCCTGTGCACATGTAGCATCGTAGGAAACACCTGCAGGGAAAAATGATTTTGTTACAGTACCGAATCTTTCTAACATTTCTGCAGTGTGTTCTGAGCTCCCGTGTAACCAGCAGTCATTTTGCATGTGATGACCATGACATTTAATAGAAATCACAGGAAGTTTCTGTACGAAATGAATTGCCTCTGCCCGCAGCAGTCTGATGTACAGAAGAGACACAGGTGCTACAGATTCCCTTTTAATCCTTCAAGGTTTTTCATCCACACGCTGACAAAGCCCAGCTTTCCCTGGCTTATGAGATGTGACGATAGCCCATGGCAGTGTGGCTGTGCTATATTCGTTGTGCTGTGCTCCCTGGCATCTCAGGAAGAGAAATCATCAAACCCAGGTCCCTTGCTTAAGTCCCAAGAAGTCCCACACAGAAGTTCAAAGACAACTCATCTTTCCAAACGAGATATAACCAGTTTATGCACAGGGATAAAATCACTCCAGCATGGAGACAGTGCACCGTTTAATGCACTCACAGAATCACCATAACAGTCTCTAAGGAATTTCCCTGCTCAGAGGGGGATGCCCTGGCAGGTGCAGAAATGTCATACCCTACGCAGTGCCCTCTTCTTCACCCGGGCCACTGCCACTGGGACACATCAGAGGGGTTTCTGTAGCGAAGTGTTGCCAACAGAGGTACTTCCCATGCCTTAGAGGAGGCTGTGAGCAACTGTTTCAGCTTCTCTAATCTGGGTGTGAGGATGAAGCCGTTTCTGATGAGCTGTGACACAGAAGTGAAAGTGTGCTTTGCCCTTCAGCTGCTCCGTGCTCAACAAAGATGATTGGGCTCCCTTACAAGCCAAATCAGCAACAATGCAGTCCAGAGACTGCCTGGCTGTAACATTACTGAACCCTCCTGGTCCCACCCAGTAGTCTCTTATTTTCAGTCCTACAACTGACACTCCTTTGAACGATGATTAATTTTGATACCAATAAGCATTGGCATTTCAGGATTCACTTGTGCAATTTCATGAACATCATCTAGATTTACATACGATGCAATGCATTGAAACAGTTCTTCACTCATGCTGGGTTCCTATCATTTTAAATAATTGAGTCACCAAGGCTCTCGATGCATTAACAGTCCCTGAGTAAAACACACTGCAGAAAATCTCAGTATACACATTACTCGCCTTGCTCAATTTAATTGTTTGAAGATGTCAGACTTCCCAGCATGAACCAGCTGAGGAGCTGTGAATAAGTGCTGTGGTCTCCTTACTAGACACATTTCTCTCATGCCAGACTTGCTTTCTCCAAACCCATAATAAAGAACTCTGCATCGAAAACTAATTGTGTTTCAGGGTGATGTTGGTGGAAACTTGTTTAGCAGTTGAACAGAACATTTCATGCTATAGCAGCTCCAGAGGGATGTTAAGCAAACATTCTCCTCCCCATCTTCCTACTTATTAAACTTTTGAGTCACACCACTCAAACTCTGCTATGCCTTTTCCGCTTTGCCAGTGCCGATAACAGAACCTTATTACAGAGGAGCATAGTCACTTTTCCTGAACGTTACTGCTGTGTTAAGGTCACACTCCAACTTACGTTAAAAGAACTTCCGGAAAAAAAAATAAAGTTTGCATATGAGTAATTAGGGCAAATGCACAGAAGGCAAGCTGGTGAGTCAGCAGGTGGCTCAGTGAGGACAGTGACAGGGATTCGGCAGCAGAACAAATCAACACAAAGATGCGAGATAGGCTCTGTTTGTGGCTTCACATTGCTCTCTGCTGATGGGTCAAATATCACCATGCTGGTCACTGTGTACATTTGTTCTCAGGACCCTGTCACACCTCCGTGTTACTGGTTGGCACAACTTCTGTCGACTTCAGTGAGAAAAGATCAGGGTCTGAGCTTTCTCAGATATCTTTCTTCCAAAGAACACATACAGTTTGAGTAGGGGCTTACAGATGAAGGATGAGAACTGAGAGACTAAGGAGTCCCTCCACCAACTTGAATCGGTGACTCATATGGCATGGGATGCCACTGCAACATCCCATACCACCAGCACTGGCCTTCCCGGCCTTTTACTTGGCAGTACAGCCCGTTACATTCAAGGAGTAATGTTCATTGAGTCAGTAAATGAGAACCATGTTACAGTGAAGGGAGCATATTAGTCTACCAGTATTTGACAGAAAACCTGCCATGCCTGTACATTTACTTTACAGGGAAGTGCTGCAGGGTCTCTAAGGCTGTGCAGTCCCTCGGCTCTGCTGTATGCTATCAGCAGTCCAGTGTCTGTTGCTATGACTTCTGATGCTTAACAATGCTAGAACCTGAGATCTCCAACCAGCATCTCCTTTCCCAATAGAAATATGAATTGAAATATGAATTGCATTCAAACCCCAGCATAATAGCTAATGCTGCTGTTACTCACATACAAAATATTTGATGAAATGGGAGTATGTGATGGCAGTCAGAATTTCTCTTTGGCAACTGTGATTTCCACTGGTCTTTTCTTACTTTATCTTCTCTCCCTCTTATGTCTGGATCTTATTCTTCTTTTGGCGTTTGCACAATACAATTTTTTTTAAAATATGACCACCTCTTAAGGGCTGCTCGCCTCACTGAACATTAGGCTATTGGGAAATACTCCTCTGACTTTGATTTCTGCACAGAGAAGTACACCATCGTGGATAAAAAAGTATAATAAAAGCACTATGTGCAATTCAGTGTAATTAGATTTGAGGGAAGGATTTTTTCCCCTTGAAAGGGATCTACCAGACAAAAGCAGAAGGCAAGCAGAAGCTCAGCAGGCTTCACCACACAGCTTCACCAGTCGCCTACATCCTGCCAACCCCAGGCCACTTCTGAGCAGATATTGCCAATTGTATGGTGGTTTTCCTGAGGTGGACAAAAAGAGGATGGAATTTTTAAAATTATCCTTCCAGAAAATAATGGTTTTGTGGTTGAAGCCCTGAATGAAAGCCTGGGGGGCGTGGGGGGGGCGGGGGGGGAGCAGATTTGGTTACAAGCTTCTTGTGGGACACTGTACAAATTACTTCAGGAAAGATTTTGGATCTCAGCACTGCAGTCTCTTGCTCCACACCAAGCAGAAGTGTTCACAGATATATCCCACTGCTCAGGATACTCAGCTGTTGGCTCTCGCCTACATTTGGCATGGTGATGGGACTGGGAAAGTGTAGACAAGTCTGAGGCCGGGCTGCCTACACTTCAGGTTCTGCTCAAAGAATCATGGAATTATAGAATCATATCTTAGGTTAGAATGGTTAGAATGGTTTGGGTTAGACGGGACCTTTAAGATCATCCAGTTCCAACTCCCTGCTACAGGCAGGGACACCTCCTTCTAGCCCAGGTTGCTCACAGCCCCATCCAGCCTGGCCTTGGATGCTTCTAGGGAGGGGGCATCTACAACCTCTCTGGGCAACCATTCCGGTGTCTCACCACTTTCACAGTAAAGAATTTCTTCCTGATATCTAGTCTAAATATACCCTTTTCCAGTTTAAAACCATTTGCCCTTGCCCTGTTGCTATCTGCCCTTATAAAAAATTCTTCCCCAGCCTTTCCTTATGCCCCCTTCAGGTACTGGAAGGCTGTTATAACGTCCCCTCAGAGCCTTCTCTTCTCCAGGCTGAAAAGCCCCAGCTCTCTCCTTTTAGGACATCTTCATGGCCCTCCACTCCAACAGCTTGATGTGCTCCTGTGCTCTTGTGCTGGGGGCTCCAGATCTGGACGCAGTACTCCAGGTGGGATCAGAGTAGAGGGGCAGAATCACCTCTCTCAACCTGCTGGTCACACTTCTCTTGATGTAAGCCAGGGCATGGTTGGCCTTCTGGGCTGCAAGTGCACACTGCTGGCTCATGCTGACTCTTTCTTCAGCCAACACCCCCAAATC